TGCTCTGATAGCTGAAATCCATTCTGAACCTGGAGGGAGAACGTTAATAGCTTAATGCAGCATTTTTTTCTTATGCCCTGTCCTCATAAGCACATTTCCCACTGACTTGAACAAAAATATAGAGGCCTCCCTTATCAGATATTTGGAGGGGTTAAGTACTTAATAATATCCTGGATAAAAGCATTAGGATTCAAAAAGCCCTCAGCTATCTATAGAAAGAAGTCAATTATTATGAGGTGGAAATTTACCCCACATGTATCTCAGGTTCTACTGGTGAGATACTAAGAAATGAGAGAGGTACAGTTTAGTGTTAGCACAAGTGAATATGATTTGTGGTTTTAGATGACAGTAAGATTTACATATGGAACTACAGTTGGGTAATTCCCCTGTGCATCTTCCTCCACCCTCCCCTCAAAAAACCACTAGTGCTATCAACCCAGGATAAAAAGATTATAATAGTCTGTCACACACTTTTTGAGGATTAGACTACATCAGGATTATTGCATTTGGCTAGGATCTCACATTATAGGGAAACAGCCACGATAGTTAAATGGCATAAAATAGATTTTATGAATATTAGTCAAAGAAGTTGGTCAGAAGAGAAGACTTGGATTAAATGACAGCTGTTTTCAAACATCTGAAGGATCTTTATCCAATAAAGAATTTAGGCTTGATAGACAGATCTTCAAGGTGTATACCTAGAATTAGACATTAGCTATGGAGGGAGAGAGGTCCGTGGTCAGTATAATGAAGAACTGTCTGAGAGACAGATGCAAACAGCTGCCTGCAGATGGAATGGCTTTCTTATCTTCAAGAGTGACAGAACACATACTAAGCAAGAGGTTCATGCAACTACTACAGAGGCACAGTTCTCAACCTTATCAAATTCAACATCTCATTTAAATAAATATGTAAGCATTTTATTATACACCCTTATCAAATTCGACACCTCATTTAAATAAATATGTAAGCATTTTATTATACACCCTTCATAATATTGAGATGAAATTCATAGCTCATGTAACCTACTTACACACTTAATTTTATAAAATCATCATGATGCCCCAAAGGAAAGCAATTGATCAAGGGTATTTCAATATGTAAATTTTCAGACACCAGTTCATTAGAAGACATAATATAGACTCATACTGCTCCTACAGAAGAAGATAGGAAATTCCCAAGTATAAGGGTCAATTCTTCATTTTCTTGGACTGTCTCACTCATTGCAGGGCATATGGTACCTCTGCTTGCCCCCAAATAGCGCCCTTCCCATAACCATGCCAACCAAAATGCCCCAGGAAAGGGCACCAAAACCAATGAAAATCACTATTAAGAGGAAAATCAAGCCCCACAGATACACTAGTATTTTAAATTAGTTTTCAAATTAAATGTTTTTAATTGCAAAAATTCCTTTAAAACTGAGATTTTATAAACTTTGCATACCTGAGAAGTTCTCTGTTTTCCATATGCTCTGTGCTTCATCTGAATAACACTTACCCCATGCTATTAAGGCAGAAGGGTACCTTCTTTTCTTTCTTTCTTTTTTTTTTTTTTTTTGAGATGGAATCTCACTCTGTCACCCAGGCTGGAGTGCAGTGGTGTGGTCTCGGCTCACTGCAACCTCTGTCCCCTGGGTTCAAGTGATTCTCCTGCCTCAGCCTCCCAAGTAGCTGGGATTACAGGCACCTGCCGCTATGCCCAGCTAATTTTTGTATTTTTAGTAGAGATGGGGTTCCGCCATGTGGGCCAGGCTGGTCTCGAACTCCTGACCTCAGGTGATCCGCCCACCTCGGCCTCCCAAAGTGCTGGGATTTCAGGCGTGAGCCATCCTGCCTGGCCAAAGGGTACCTTTAAAGCAAGATAGGCCTGGTTAAAATCCAGACTCCATCACCTACAAGGTATGTAGCCTTGGGTAAGCTACCTAATTTCTCTAACCTTCAGTTTCTTTACCTGCAAAAGGGCTGTTACAGAGACTCGACATGGAAAAAAGGATTCACTAGAGTCTGGTGCTCCATAAAACAGAAAATTCTATCCATTGAGATTTCTATACACCCAAATATCCAAGTGTTCATGAAATACCATTTTCAATACTACCTGAAGAACTACATTAAAATCCGCCCCAAACAGTAAACTAACAAGCCAGGCAGATCTAGTGAATACAAACATGACAGGAAACAGTGAAATATTTATTGAACATGAATCATATGCACCAATTTTTTTTTTGTTCAATACTGTTACACACATAGTTTGGTTTAATCTTTATGACTGCATGAGGGAGTTAATCTCAATTCTTTTCAGATAAAGAGTCTGAACTTTAGAACGATTAAAGAATGTATTCAAGGTCAAATAGCCCTAAGAGTTACAGCCAGAATGATCAGCTCTGTCTGATCCCAAAGAAGGAACCACTAATAATGGGCTGTAGGAGTGGGCTGTTACTACCCATAATTTTCACATTGACGCCTGGTTCTTCCTGGATTTAACCACAGTTAAAAAGAATAAGAGCGGGGGCTGGACACGGTGGCTCATGCCTGTAATCCCAGCACTTTGGGAGGCCGAGGCAGGTGGATCACCTGAGGTCAGGAGTTTGAGACCAGCCTGGCTAATATGGTGAAACCCCATCTCTACTAAAAGTACAAAAATTAGCCAGGCATGGTGGCACATGCTTGTTATCTCAACTATTCCAGAGGTTGAAGTGGGAGAATTGCTTGAACCTCGGAGGCAGAAGATGCAGTAAGCCGAGATCGTGTCACTGTACTTCAGCCCGGGCAACAGAGCAAGGATCCACCTCTACCAAATATTTTAAATACATTGAATGCATTCTCTCATTAATACTTACAACGTATAAGAAGTCAATTTTGAAGTTTTCTACCTGCACACAAAGATTAGAAGGGCCAAATTTGCATTATCATACAGAAAGTTACTGGAGGTAATGAAAACAGAACAATCTGTCTGTTGATCTCATCTCCTAGTCATAAGAGACATCCTCTTTCTCACCATCAATCACTACTGGGTACCTACGACATGCTTCTGATTACATGTCACAAAAGGTGGGAAAAATATGACTCCTGCCTCACCCATAGAAGTTCACTTCAGATAATCTCTAAGACAAATCTAAAGATATTAGGCTCCAAATAGCATCAATAAACAGGAGACATGCGAAGAAAAGTTGGCTTTGAATTACTTCTGGAATTCATTTTAATACTACCAGACAGATTCATTCCTAAAATCACAGAGTCTCTGGCCTGTTTGATTGTTTTGCAGACATATTCTAGCTCCGGTCCAAAGGAAATAAGCTGCAAACTCTTCTGGAGTTTCCCTGCTGGTACAGAACTCAATCTTGTTCCCCAAATCCTTGCAGAGAATATGTGCCAATGTGAATCACTGTGCCAGTGCCCTGTGCTCACAGCAAATGCCATCACCAATGCATGTGTCCTGGTCTTACACTGTGCCCTAATGCCTTCAATTTCAGGAGGGGGAAAAAAAAATGAGAGCAGTAGTTACTGCTACTACTATTAGTACTTATTATTATTTGGTGGGGACTATTTGGTGGATCTGAATTAAGAGTTAACTGACAAAACCAACAAAATTTGATAGACGAAAGGTGTTAAAAGATAAATGGAATGCCTTTCCAAAAAATATACAGTATATGGGTAGCTGATACTACTTTCCAAGAATTAAATTTGAGTGTCTTTTGAGACTTTATCAATGAGAGATAATCTAGCAGTTAAACTGCCATTTCACTAAAGAAAAGGCCTTGTACTTCTTTGCTTTCTGTGGATGAGATCTGCAATCAAATGCATTTTTAAAATATACTGGCATACATTCATATCTGTAAAAATGCAAAATAAAAAAATGAATTATCATTCTTTTTAATGTGCTTTCAGCATATCTACATGGAGAGTATGCGTGGCAATAAACAACTTATGCTTACTCCTAAATAGTGCCTTGTAATATATTTATGAGCAATTTTCTTCAATTCAGTAAGCACTTAGAACCCATTTTATGCCTACAACTGTACTATTTATCTAAAGCCTGTGACTATAAAAAGGACCCAAAGTACTCTAAAGAAACTTCAATTTTTCAAAAGGGAGATAAGATTTACACCAAATAATCAGAAAACAGGGGCATGAAAAAGTTACGCCAAGTGAAACGTACGACACAGAGGAAGTGCTAATGGGAAGTAAGAAAACAGCTGGGTCACACGGGCCAGTCCTGGTAGGGAAAGTGTTAAAAGGGGGACATTTTCCAAAACCACAATTCAGGGTTATATTTCAATAGTGCCACACAATCAACAATCAAATCTGTAAACCAGAAACAGTTTTTTCCCCAAGACAAGGTTCTCTATCAGAGCACACTCAAGACAACAGCAATTCCATCAGATTCTGCCTCAGATGTCTTGAGTAAAATGGAGAGAGGCACGTAATACTGTGGTTAGCAAAATACGGAATGTGGGAAATACACAAACGTGGGTTTGGAGACAAGACATAACAAAAAGTGCCCAAGGCTCAGGGAATATGCCCAATGTGAAAGTAAATTAGCATGGAGAAATACAAGGACCTCTTCCTGGAAAAAAAAAATTACTTGTATAATATTCAACTACAAATTTCTAGCAGACTGGGTTAAGAAATCAAGTTTATGGTTTACATTCTTTTTTTTCTTAAGGTTTATTGAGTTGCTTCTTATAAAACTTGTAGAATTCAAAACAAAAATGGCTTTTTTGGTAGAATGGATTGTTATTTCTAATTACATACTCCTTCCCTCGCTGTAAGATAATTATACATCCACACCCTTTGCTGTGCACTTCTGTGATGCTTTGCACTAGTACACAGAATATACAACCCCATCTGATTGTTCACGTCACTTGTTTTGTCCAATAGACTGTGAGGATGAACAGTCATACTTACATTGACTTGAAGCACTAAGAGACCTGGCAAGTTTCCACTCCCGGTATGTTGGTTTCCCTACCTGTATGCTATAGGTAGCTGCTTTTCCCTCTTCAGCTTGGGTTCCAGGATGAAGACATGTGGAACAGACCTGAACCTGTACCTCAGCTTTGACATCTGACTTAGCCTTTGCCAAGGCCAGCCTGCAGAACCCAACCAGGAGCAGCTAAACCGCAGTCAACCTGCAAATCCATGAAAGTGAAATCATATTTGTGGATATAAGCCACTGTGGTTTGGAGACAATTGCGCAATGTTATCAAAACAAAAAAAACCCAATACACCCTTAGAACCATCCTGCTTCACAAATCACTTCGTGGAGTTTTACAAGGAAGATCAAAACCGTATAGTACATATTATTATTAATATGAATAATTCTACCATGGCCTGAGATACCATAGCCCAGAGACAAATTGGGCCTGAGATAACAAGGCCCAAAGACAACTGACACAAACAGCAGAGGAGGCTTCCTTTTCTTCCAGTTGACATTGACCCACAACAATTTGCATGGCTATGGGGTTTTAGCTGAGAAGGTATCATTTGACATGATATTGTGCATTGTCTTAGTATTATTTATACATAAGTATATTTATATAAGTTGATATTGCTTACTGTTATAGGTTGAATTATAGCACTGCAAAAAAGATGTTGAAGTTATAATCCTCAGTACTCCAGAATGTGATCTTATTTGGAAAGAGGGTCACTGCAGATACAGTTAGCTAAGATGAAATCATACTGGAGTGTGTGGTACCCTAATCCAATATGACTGGAATCCTTTATAAGAAGATGGCCACATAGTGACAGAGATACACAGGGAGAATGCCGTGTAGACACAGGTCACACTTGGAGCTATACAGCTGCAAGGCAAGGTCTAGCAAACCACCACAAGTTAGGAAGAGACAAGAAAGGATTTTTCTACAGGTTTCAGGGGGAACACGGCCCCGCTGACACCTTGATTTTGAACATCTAGCTTCCAGAAAGTGAGAAAATGAATTTTTAAAGCCACCCAGCTTCTGTTACTTTGTCATGGCAGTCCTAAGAAACTAATATGCTGATTTTAAATTACCTTCATACACTATCACTGTTCCAGTAGAATACTGCTCCAAAAACTTTATTACTTTCCCAACATGTCCATTCTGCCACATTCTCTTATAATTTAAAGGAAATGCAGGCATGCCATTAAGAAAATTGGTAAACATTATTTACCAACTGTCTCCTGGGCTCAGATGTTAACTCCATGAGCTTTCTGTTCATCCAGATAACATCTGGGCCCAGGAGACAATTCAAGCAAGCACAGCTTATTTGGATAGATGCACTAAGAACTGACTTAATTATCAAACAATTATTTTATCCTAAAAGAAGTTTTGAAATATTCTGAGAATGCAGCATCACCCTCTATTATGACACTCCTATCACACCTTCTATAACAATTTTAGACTGACAAACTCATACTGCTAAGTTTCTCAGTGCACACTTATGCTACCTTGTGTCATTTTCTTTATTTCTTTTTTGAGATGGCATCTCACTCTGTCACCCAAGCAAGTGCAGTAGTGCTATCTCCACTCACTGTAGCCTCTGCCTTCCAGGTTCAAGCGATTCTCCTACCTCACTCTCTCAACCTCTCAGTAGCTGGGATTACAAGTGCATGCCCCCACACCTGTCTAATTTTTTTATTTTTAGTAGAGAGAGGGTTTCAGCATGTTGGCCAGGCTGGTCTTGAACTCTGGACCTCAAGTGACCTACTTGCCTTGGCCTCCCAAAGTGCTGAGAGTACAGGCATGAGCCACCGCAACTGGTCCCTTGTGTCATTTTCTAATTATTGTTCCTTATGCCTAAATTCCTTCCAATCAGACTGTAAACTCTCTAAAGGCAAGGAATGTGTCTTATGCTGTCCATTCATGCAGAATTATGCACACAAACACAAATCAAAGTTCTTAATTTAGGCTGGACACAGAATTTACGTTTAATAAGTTGATTTTTGACTTGTAATGGCTAAATGATGGTTATGAAATGATGACATCTTGCCTTTTATTTAGTTTAGTGGTCTCTACCTTTTATTTTACATCAGTAAAAGTATCTGAGCATAAAACTCTAATTATTTTTACTTATAAAAACATGTCTTCTTTACTAATAATTAAAAAGCATATAACTAAAATAGAAGTCATGAAAAGATAATATAGACATTCTAACAATTTCTTTCTATACCTTCATGTTGTGCATGAACTTCCCTTTAGAAACCACCCGTCTAGACTATGAGAGCAGATATGTGACAACATTTCCTGGGATTTGGTCCTTTCCAGGAAATGCAAGATCTATACAATTCTAACACATTTATAAATTTAATAATTTTCTGACAGATTCATAAAATTGTCTAGATCAAATAAGCAATATTTTAAAGTTTATAGGATTGTCTTTGCAACTAGGATTAATTTGTATATTATACTATTAGTCCCCTATTATAAATGCATTTGCTAACTGTGGTGTTCTCTGCAATTTAACCCATTTTTAGATGTTAGAAATGAAAATCTATTATCAGGCCTTCAGGCAAAAATCTATAAGACTGAGAACCCAAATGATATAACATTCTGATCTTGAAAACAAGGAAAATAGAAGGATGAGCAAAGGGGATGATAAAGCAGACAACTCATAAATTATCTCTAAGAATGTCATCCTCAAGCCTGTAATCCCAGCACTTTGGGAGGCCGAGGCGGGTGGATCACGAGGTCGAGAGACCGAGACCAACCTGGTCAACATGGTGAAACCCCGTCTCCACTAAAAACACAAAAAAGTAGCTGGGCATGGTGGCGCTTGCCTGTAATCCCAGCTACTCAGGAGGCTGAGGCAGGAGAATTGCTTGAACCCAGGAGGCGGAGGTTGCGGTGAGCCGAGATCGCGCCATTGCACTCCAGCCTGGGTAACAAGAGTGAAACTCCGTCTCAAAAAAAAAAAAAAAAAAAAAAGAATGTCATCAACACAACAACATCCCATTTTTCTGCGTTCTACGTGCACGCGGATAATGCTGTGCTAGAAAATAAAAGGCCACTGAGTAATATAAAACACAACTTCTAAAAGCTTACTGTAAGAACTGACTAGGTGCAACGGCTCATACCTGTAATCCCAGAACTTTGGGAGGCTGAAGAGGGCAGAGCATTTGAGGTCAAGAGTTCAAGAACAGTCTGACTAACATGGTAAAACCCCGTCTCTACCAAAAATACAAAAAAAAAATTAGCTGGGCATGGTGGCACATGCCTGTAGTCCCAGCTACTCTGAAGGTTGAGGCAGGAGAATTGCTTGAACCTGCGAGGCAGAGGTTGCAGTGAGCTGAGATGGTGACACTTCACTCCAGCCTGGGTGACAGAGCAAGACTCTGTCTCAAAAGAAAAAAGAAAGGAACAACTAAGCAATAACGTAAGCCAATATTTAGTTCATTTGTCGTACAAATGCTTAAGTGCCAAAAGAACTGAAGTCAGCATACAATAGATGGGTTGGAAAGTATTCATGGAATTAAATATAAAGCTGGTGTGGAAAACTGATTTTAAAGGAAGAAATGTGGAGGGAAATTCCAGCTAGGAAGGACAGCAAAGGCTGGAGGGCAGGAATTAGTCTCCTGTATGTGTGGGATTACCGAGGATTCTGACCCCACTGAAGTGCCAAGTTCACGCAGGGGGAGAGTGAGAGAGAAGGCTGAGTGCATGAAATGTAGAGAGGAAGCAATGCCGTCATCACCTGAGCTGCATTCTTCGGATTAAACTTCCAGGAGAAAGCCATCACTCTTAAGTCATTTTACTTGGTCTACTTATTCTTGAAGAAACAAACTTGGGGCTGATCTATACATAAAGTAAGAGAGCAAATGCAAGAAAATACCAAGCAGATGATGTGTGGGTGAAGATTTTGAGGAAGTGAAATATTAGTAGCTTTAAAAGGAGGAAGAGAAAGTAAAATATGTCAAAATGAATATGCATTTGCTTTCAAAAAGTCAAAAATATAATAATTGTATGATACATTAATTGTAATAATATTCAGTAATTATCATTGTAATACATATGGATAACAAATAAAACTGTGATAAAGGAAAATATAAATCTCCTATGATCCCATCAGGGAGAAAAAAGTAAGTTTGTCACTTTCCTTTTCTATGCAAATGCATCTTAAAATGAAATTAGAATTTTTTGTATATGCTGTTTATATTTAACTCAGTTATTATAAACATCACCCATGTCATTAAATATTGTTCAAAATTTTAATGGCTAAGTATCTTACCATATACATTTACCATTACTTAAAAAAATGACTCTACTGTTGGATTTTTCTCAAATTCTTACAATAACACCCTTGGTAACAACTAATACTTATATAGTTGCTTACTCTGTGTCAGGCAGGGTTCCAAGTACTTTACATAAATTAATTTACCTAATTCTCTGTACAATGTGGGAGGTAGATACTATTATTATCTTCATTTGACAGATGAGAAAAATCGAAGTGTGGAGAAATTAACTTCCTAACTGCACATAGGTGGTAACTGTGGAACAGGATTCCAAGCCAGATAACTGGCTCTGGCTTTCCTGTTTTAACCTTTCTACTGTATCAGTAGCCTCTCACAGATCATGGGCTCATCACTGAACTGTAGCTTCATGTCTGACTCTTTCCTTAGGATATACTCAGAAGAGAATCACAAATGAAAAGGAGTATCCATGTAAGGTACAGCATCCTACCTTTCGTGAGCTACAACACATCCTCACTCTTGCCAGCACTGTAACTGATTTTTAAAATCTAATAATCTGCATTTCTTTGATGTGATGAAGTCAATATTATTTTCATGTCTTGGCCATCTTAAGTTCCTGTTTTGTGAATATTCTATTCCTATTCCTCGTTATGAAGGTTTTCAAAGAGTTAAGATACGGAAGATAGAAATTATTTTGGAAGTCTCTGTGATTCAAAATATCAAAGAGTATTGCTAACCAGTTTTTTCAGTGGGACCCTAGAGACAGGAAGTACCCTGGAGGAAATCACTGGAAATGAGGGATGAGGGCTCAGCTATAGACACCTGCAACCAAAGAACTGAGCAGACCTTCCCAACAGACCGATGAATAGCCGGAAATTGAGATTTATCCCATACTGCAGGGGTGACAGTTATCCAATGGCTAGAATATTTATCACTGCTACTCAGAGCACTCTTACTTCATGATAGCAGCATGCCTGGGGAAACAAGTCAATAAATTCGACGTTTGCATAGCAAGGCCAGAGTCACAGAAGAAAAATGAAAGATCATAAGGGATCTCAGACCTATGGATTTATCTCACAAATTATTTCTGTTCTACAAGGCACACCTGGTCAGTGATAAGAATAACCCACTGGTCAGAAATTCCACATGAACAGTGCTGAACAAACACTATTAAACTCTTGCTCTCTAAATCCTCTGTTAATCAGTCATCAAAAGCAAATTACCTCATACCAGGCACTTTGCAGTAAAAACCAAGCACTTAAGATATCCTCTGATTACTTGGGTTGGAAATAAAAATATTTCATTCACATATTTAGGAGTTACTTCTTAGATTGGACCACTCTCTCCAGAAGGCTCATGTCATTTATCAGGGTCAATGTTCAATCCTTTCAACATCTTAAGAGTACCCTTTTTGCCTGTCTGATCCCCAAACTTCAGTGATACCCTATTTGAAGACTTTCGCCCTTTATGTACCAACTACAGAAGAAAACTAGAGTAGGAGGCATAAAAGACACTCTCCCAGATGAGTGTCATAATAAATACCAGAGCTATTTTTAATTGAGTGTTAAGACAATGTTTGAGAGAGGATTAGTAAAGTAAGCAAGGGCTGCTAAAAAAAATTGGTTTGGACATGTACAGTTGGCCCTCCATATCCATGGGTTCTATATCCATGGAATCAACCAACCAATCAGATCACTTGAGTTCAGGAGATCGAGACCAACCTGGCCAACATGGTGAAATCCCGTCTCTACTAAAAATAAAAAAATTAGCTGGGCATGGTGGTGTATGCCTGTAATCCCAGCTACTCAGGAGGTTGAGGCAGGAGAATCGTTGAACCTGGAAATGGAGGTTGTAGGGCACCGAGATTGCATCACTGCACTCTAGTCTGGGAGAAAGGGACTCTGTCTCAAAAAAAAAAAAAAAAAAAAAGAAAAAAGAAAAGAAAAAGAAAAAAATGGATGGTTGTGTACTGAACATGTACTTCTTTTCTTCCTTGTCATTACTCCCTAAACAGGGTGGTATAACAACTACTTACCTAGTATTTACATTGCATTTGGGTATTATAAGTCATCCAGAGATGAGTTTAAATATACAGGAGGATGTGCATAAATTACATGCAAATACTGTACCATTTGATACCAGGAACCTGAGCATCCTTAGATTTTGGAACCCACCCCCTGGAACCAATCCCCTGAAGATACTGAGGGACAACTGATTTATACTGAGGTGGGGGATGGGTCGGGAGAGAAGAAGAATGATTAACAGCTTCAACATTGATTTTTTTGTTTTGTTTTGTTTTACCAATCTTACATGCTATCCAAAATCATAGTTAATTTTTACTGGAACATCAATTTTGCTAGTAACAAAATATAGCTATTAGCTATAATGCAGCTAATACAGAAAATTGTTCCTAGTATGGAAAATTATTCCTAGTATGGAAGCCTACTTGGGACACTAAATTACATGTGGCAGGCTCCATGAGTTTATAGAATCTCAACTAAGAAAGGCCCCTAGACATGACACCAGAAATTAGTGTGGCTTGCACATGAAAATTGAATAGCATCTTCCAAGCAGAGGGAACAGCTTGGAAAAGAAAAGTCATACTCTATCCATGTGCAGAAAGTGGCAATTCGTTTTGTATTACTAAAATACAAATTTTTCACTTGGGGGTCCACAAACAAGGACATGTAGGCTAATGGTGTCTATAGCGCATGATGACAACTTCAACTTTCCATCAGGTTTTTTAATGGGTCTATGAAATGGGTCAAGGGGACTTAGCTAAGAATGACTGTGGGTGAAACACATGACAAGGAGGGAGAGGGACAGGAGATGAATCTCTCAGGGTCCAAGAGACCAGGGTAAGATGTGCAGATTCCTTCCCATGTATGATGGAAATCGCTTAGAAGGCCTCAAGGGGGAAGTCTGGAAGGACAGCCGGCTAGAATGTGGAGGGCTGAAAAGCAGAGCAAGGCAGAACAGTCCATGACATCTAAGGAGCCAAAGAGAGGCAGTGGGAATGGAATAGAGTGAATCAGAGACAGGTTAGGAGAGAAAGTGAGCAGCTTCTGTGCTCATATTTGCTTATATATGCATAAAATGTCACTAGAAGATTCTCAACTAACACTGGTTACCTGTGGATTAGTGAAATGGGTGACTGGGAATGAGGATGAGAAGGAGTCTTTTCACTCTAGAGCCATTCATACCTTTTGAACCATGAGGATATTACCTATTCTAAAAATAAAATTAAAAAACAGATATGAAGGTTATTGGAATGAGATGCCTCTATGCACAAACCTGCCCAAGTCCCCCTCCAAACCCCCTTATGTTTTAAGTTGCATTTTTGAATTCAGATCATTTATATGACAATGGCTACCAGACTGTACCAATGACTGATTCTTGAGAAAGGCCAATCTTTCTGCTTACCATAGTGATAAATGTATCAAGCTTAACTTACCATGTAGATGTAAATAATGAGTTATCTGGGTAAATTCAACCAACTTAACAACTAGTTGTCAAAACATCAGTATTAAGAATTAACTCAGGGAGCTCTTTTCTTTTAAATTTCATGGTAAATAAATGAGGCTCAGAGAAGATTATGATTTATTAAAACAAGGATAAATCACATGAATCACTAATGTGAAGGTCAGATTGTTGATTCACTCTGGTGAATGTTATGCTAAGTTAGGCTAGATCTTTGGCTAACAATGACTTATTCTATTGAAACTTCTATTCAACCTATGACATTTAAGGTACTCCAAATATAATTGACTTAAACTGAATAGCTTTATTAACTTCAAATTAGTAATGAGTGAATATAAATGTAAGAATTTAAAAAAAAGTTTTGTAAAACTATGTAACATTGTTTTCCATTTGGCTATCAAAGTTCAAATGTACTAAATTTGCAATTCTTGTTCAAAACATTTAATGTAACCAATTAAACTTGTTCATCAAAAACATACTGTGTCCAGAGATCAATTGTGCAATGTTTTCATTTATTTGGTTTTATGTTTTATAATCTGCCTTGTTCCACAAAGGATATGAGTCATCTTGAATATAATTCAATTAAATGCAAAAACATAATGAGATAAACATCAGAATCAAGAAAAACAAGATAGCATAGAAGCTCAAAACCAAAGGGAATGATAGAATATTAATATTAGGTTATAAATTTTTATATTATTAAAATTGAGTTGCAAATTGTTCATTTCCTGGTTGCCAACTTAGGGAAATATAATCAATGATTTGATTCTCATTTTCATGATGAAAAGACACCACACACACACACACACACACACACAAATTGTTCAGGGCAAGTAAAGCTTGTCGTTGCCATTTAAAGTTAAATGGAATTTCTTGCAAGAGTCTTCACACAGGAACCATAGAAAGAAACATGATCACAACCACATTTGGAAGGTAACATAACAGCAAGTTTCCTCTGGCTGTATTAATAAAATCCTTCAGTGTGAGCATATTGGGGGGGGTGTTAAGGATGCAAAATAAGGTACCAAAGTACAGCTTCTGACGATCTGCTAGGCTCCTGATCTAACAGCTAGTATTAGAAGGGAATAGGTTGACATCATCGCTTTTGTTCAGCCAAACCCCTATAAACATCATTTCTGTCAATTAAGCTTCTGATCAAATTTAGCAACAGAAAATTCATATTCTCTGGCATGTGCAGAAACAAATGCATTTTGTACCACTGTTGAGGGGAGACCAGTACAGAGCAATTACTCTTTCTGTACTCCCTATGTCTGAAATTCAAGGTCATACAAATTTACTTCTATATATTATTTCCTGCAACCAACAATTCTGATTCTAGCACATGTGAATTGAGTATATCCTGTTGAATTGAAAGAAACAAAAAATTATGGCCCGGGATTTAAAATACAATCGTAAATGGCATTTAGCAAGAAAGGAACAGAGGACTCTAAAATACAGCCTTTAGGAAGATAGAGGATATCCAGGTCTTGGATTGAGTTCTGTGGTGCTTGTGGAGGCGGAGTGCTGGGGGATCAGGAGGTAGGACCCAAAAGTGAATCATCCAATCCCAAAGGCACTGCGCATTTGGATGCCTGACACACACAAGAGAAAAATACCTCTTCAATTCTGAGATTAGAGCTCTTATTTGACTGTGATTCCAAGGCCTAAAGTAATAGCAGTTAAACTGAGCAGTTAAAGGCTCAACTCCTACTTGTAAAATGAACAAGGTAAGTGCTTACAAGTAACAAGGTAAAGAGCTTACTGTAACAAAAAGGGAAGGCTTTTTTGAAAAGCTTAAAGTGCTCAAGGAAGAACCAGGTAATTTAATTGCTCAGTACCCTGGGTTACAAATTCAAGAAGTGTGAAATGTAATTATCTTTATTGCAGGAGGGAATTTTGGCTTTGTTTTAATAAATCATAACAAATTAATTTTTTTCATAAGTTCCCTCCCGCTGTTGGTTCCTGCAGTCTTATTACCTTTTATAGGAAAAATGTTATTTCCTTATCCATCAACATAAGTAGGTTGGAGAAGCAATAGCAATAAAGTATGGCCTACCATACTGTGTAAAAATAAGTCATTTGGGTAACATGAAGTGAAAATGGTAAAGATGCATTAAAATGACAGAAAGAAAATCTGGGAGCTCTCCCAGATAATATTGTTAAGCAGAGATCGAATAGAAGTTCACATTGACTCATGAAATGTATGTGATGGAGAAAAAAGAAATCAAAACAGAAAATA